TGATCCTGTTACTACTCATACACAAGTACACAAATCACCAACTCCTATGACAATCATCCATGCATATAGGTAAAATAAAATACACTTTATAAGTGTTCATAAGTAACATGTCAAATCCAGGGATGCATTCAAACCAAATGGATAAACAGTGTTTAATTTAAAAATCCAAAAGGCTTCTCGTCGCAAGAGTGTTTGTCTAATATCTCTTCTACAGTAATTGCTGGTCTGGATCACTTCTATAACTACAAATTTAAAATCGTCATATCTATGACCCATAGAAATAAAAAGGTCCACGAGGGGGGCTTCTGTATGTTTGTGTTTAATTTTGGACTTAGGTTCCAAAATTCGGGTCTTAATTGCCCGTGTCAATTCTCCAATGTATTTTAGCCCACAGGGACAGGTGATTACATAAATGGCCCGCTTCGTGGAACATGAAGAGTAACTGCTCAATTCTCTCCTATGGTTAATTTCTGGAAAGTAGACGAATTTCATTTCCTCACTCAATGGACATGCTGCACATCGCAAACACTTATAGTGACCTCTTTGGGAGCCAGTTTGGTGTAGTGGTTAGGAGCGCGGACTCTAATCTGGGAGAACTGGGTTTGATTCCCCACTCCTCTTTCACATGCAGCTGCTGGTGTGACTTTGGGTCAGTTACAAGTTGTTTCAGAGCAGTTCTCGAAAGAGCTCTCTCAGCACCACCTACCTCACAAGTGGGAAGGGGAGGGGAAGGAGATTGTAAGCCGCTCTGAGACTCCTTCGGGTAGTGAAGGATGGGGTATAAATCCAACTCTCTTTTTTTCTCTTCTTGAGTAACTGTGCATTTTTATTGATGATCTGCGCTGTCTGTTACTCAGCGTCTGCACTTTGTGCCCACAAGCTTTCTGGTGAGGTTGTTGGTGTGCCACGAAGCTTTGTCCATCTTGGAAGTGGGCGTTTCTGCTATCATGATGGTCCATACAGTCCATTTGAAACAATGATTTATGTTGGCACCATTCATAAGGTCTCTATAAACCACCGTTACTAGAAGAATAAAGTTGCTAGAATCCTCTTAAAATTTACTGCAGGCAGGGGGTGTGGCCTTATGACACACTTCCGGTGATGTCAGGGGGTGTGGCATATGCTAATGAGTTATGCTAATGAGTTCCCCTAGCTCTTTTTCTATGAAACGACCCCTGGCTCACACTAAGATGGTGGTAATTGTGATGAAGACTTGCCATTTTTAAACCCACTTATTCTAGGAGCATATGGATGAAGATGGTGGACAACTGCTTTTATGTTTCTGTGCTTGGGGTTTATTAGGTCTTTTGCCTTGATGGGTTCAGTGAATTTATGTTCCTGGTATTTACATACAATATCTATTTACATACATTGATTTTCACCACACTAAAGTGTACTTTATTTTTGGCCTTTGCAGGTTTGAGCTACCAACATGGGGAAAGCAGAACCAGAAAATGAAACAGCAATTGCTTCCGCTTTTAGTAATCTACATTGTGTCCGTGCTGGGGAACATCCTCATTGTGGTATTGGTTGTGGCTGATCACCACCTTCACACAAGTAGATGCTGAGCCACATCCCCTTATACAGCCACAGATGTCTAGAGGATGGAGTTTTAATAATGTAAAGATAAATTTTCATTGATGTGTTTTAAAAATACTGTTTGCTTTCCTGAGTGTGTTAAATTAAAATAAAATATCTATTATCTTGTTTCTGGGGAATGATTTTTATCTAAATAATAACTGAGATAGATGAAGATGCGTAGCAGTGTTAGTCTGTCTGCAGCAGTAGAAAAGAGTAAAAGTCCAGTAGCACCTTAAAGACGAACAGAATTTGTGGCAGGGTATGAGCTTCATGAGTCACTGTCCAGTTCTCCAGATACAGCTAGAATGTGAGTCCATCTGTCCGATATATTGGAAAGTGGAGTGATGTCAGATGCCAAATGATATCAGCAGGCAAATGACAATGGAAGGTTTGATTTGATTAGGTGTGATATGTAGAGAAGTTGTAGGCATGGAGAAATCAGCATCGGTAATGAGACAGGAAACCTAGGTATCGATTCAGTCCAGGTGGATGCATTGTCTTGAGCTTCGTTATCAGTTGCAATTCAGCAGACTCTCTAATTTCCCTTTGAAATTACTTTGTAAGATAACTGATACCTTTAGGTATTTTTAATAACTGAGTATTTCTTTTGAATGTGCCCTCCTGTGGTGATAGCTGGTATTTCATTCTCAAGTTTATTCTTTCTGATTCAATTAATACCAATTCCCTCTATCCTCCAACTATTGTGTCTTAAAGTTCCTGGATTTCAGATTCCCAAAGCCTTGAATTCAGTGATGGTAGTTTCATTTTCTTGTTCTGCTTTCCTCTGATACAATCAGCTACTACAGATCTGCTCTTGGCACTTTGCCCAGCAGCACAATTCAATCGGATCCATGCCTCCTTTTGGAAAAAAGAAATCAAAATGGGGGGGGGGGGTTTGAAACTGCAGGGATAAGGGATTCATAATTGTCCTAAGGCCACAGTTGACCACTGAACCACATGAATTGACATAACCCATCAAGGTAAAACATCAAATTGACCCTAAGCACATAATCATACAAACTGTACAAGAGGGCAGGTAGTGTTAGTGGTTGCTGTTTGCCATTGTTGGGATTTGGGTCAGTAATGTCACTACCACCTGTGATGGCATTAATACCTCACCCCTCTCCCAATAAGTTCAAGAAAGGGTTCTGAGTGGATAAGTGAGCATGGGTGTAGGGTGACTGCATAAGCTGCTGGCACATCGTCTTTCTAGTGTGGATGGACCCTCTTCAAAGGGGATATGCAGTTTGGTAGGAGGAGGTTCCAGTGCCCATGCCTATTGGCCTACCTACCAATGAGAAATGACTTTAGACGTTTAATGTGGACTTTGGATATAGTGTTGGGATGTTCACAGTTACAAGCACTAGGTAACGTGTGCTCCTAGGTTTCCAGTTTGGTTTGGGAAAGCCATCAGCCTATACCTGATCTTCTTGCAACCCTGATCCTAACTGGGGGGGGCATACAACATGGTGGTTGGGGGTGGCCATGCTTGTTGGTAGACATGGTAAAGGTTTGGCAGTCTGTGGCAATGCTATGCCCTGGTTTTTTTCTACACACCTGTATGAGTGACCATTGATGGTGCGGGGGGGGGGCGACAGACACTGGCAGGAATCTTACTCATTGCTGTTTGTGATTAATTGTTATTAATGTTTTAATTGCTTTTATCCTGTTTTATATGGGCATTGCCCCTTGTAAGCCGCCCTGAGCCCATTTTGTGGGGAGGGAGGGGTAAAAATCCCAATAAATAAATAAAAAAAATAAAAAAAATCCTGCCCCAGCATGGAATCCGCCCTGTCCATATTACATCAAGTACATACTCATATACCTTGCTAAAATTCAACACAATATAAAGTGAAAACCATATTGTTTTGATTCTTCTTTTCACTCACAGGTAAGCATTCTTTTTTTCCCCTTTTGTTTAAAATAGTTTATTGTTCTCCTGTGTACAAATATCTAGGGAGATTATGCCTTCTACCAGGAATTTTTAAAGGGAGTTTTATACTCTTTTGAAGGTCTACTAATACTGAAAGAAGAAGAGGTGATGTATTTTGCAATGACTCGGATGGTTCAGACCGATTGCTGCAGCCTCCGCTATCAGCCCTCATGTTGACTTCTTGATGCTGGAGATCTGAGATACCAGCAGGACTCTACGATACACATCCTAAACAGGCAAACCTATTTCCTGGTAAGTCAGTCTTTTTTAACTCAGATTTGTTTAAGGGGGAAAAGGCAGAGTCGAAGCTTCAGCACCACAAAGTCTTCATGTGACAATTGGCATTTTCACTATTTAGCCCTTCAGTCTGAGATTGTGATCAAACTGCACAGGAGGGAGTTATACAATCCAATTTGTGCTATGTATATCCATGTAAGTCCGTAAGCCCTACTAGAAAAGGCTGAAGGACCTGGGCATGTTCAATCTAGAGAAGAGGAGACTGAGGTTAGACATGATTGCTCTCTTTAAGTATTTGAAAGTCTGTCATGTTGAGGAGGGCAGGGAGATGTTCCTGTTGGCAGCAGTGGATAAGACTTGCAATAATGAGTTTACATAACGGGCAGAAAGGTACCAGCTGGATATTAGGATTTATTTATTTTTTTACAGTAAGAGTAGTTCAGCAGTGGAATTGGCTGGCTAGGGAGGTAGTGAACTCCCCCTCACTGGCAGTCTTCAAACACTTGTCAGGGATGCTCTAGGCTGATCCTGCACTGAGCATGGGTTTGGACTAAAATTCTAAGATCACCAAGGTAGCCAGTCCCTCTGAGCCCACCAGAATATACAGATGCTGAAAGCTGAAAATTATTAGGGGGGACTGGAGTTGTTCCCTATAAAGCCACTACGGTGTAAACATTAGAGTGTTGGATAAGCATAGTTGACTGCTTTCAGAAAGCTATGAAAGGCAATCATCACCACATATATTCTGCATCTCTGAACAATGCAAGAGCAAGGACATCTCACTTTACCTTTTCAGATGTCTGATCTACAGTCAGACTTACAAACCTACAGTCTGATGCATACTTACTTGAGATTAAGACCTTGTGAATGCTGTAGATCTCACTTGTGAGTAAGCATGCATAGGACTGAGCTGTATAGAATCCACTGCATTTGATACATGGTGGGACATTAAGATTTACATTTTAATGTAAATAGAGCAAATTGGTTTTGTTATCCTCAAGGAAATGACCCTTGTTGGAATCAGCCAGTTTTCACAAATTCTTTCTCAAATTCCACTCTATTACGGCCCCCGTTACACAAGTGTAGTGCTAGGAGATTTATTTATTTATTTATTTTATACCCCGCTCTCCCCGCAAACAGGCTCAGGGAGAGTTTCTGTTCTGGGTCTCATATGTTATCTGTTTTGCTTAGCATAATGAGCATACTGTCAGCTTTTTTGCTCAGACACACCAAATTCTCCTCCTTATTTACTCTCCTCACTGCATACATGCAGACCCCATAATTCCCAGCCTTTTTAGGGTATTCAAAGAACACACTTTCCTTTTTCACCACCAGAAAACCTGGCTGGATCCAACCCCTTTTATTTTGTACATGATGTGGGATTCACCTTCCTTCTAAAACTATGACATTGTTTCTTGCAAAATGGTTTTGCTAAAATCTCTGTGGCAATAACCTAAATCATGTGAAAAATAAAAATGGTTAGCGCATTGATACAGAGCTTGCGTTACAAACTAAGATCTAGACATCTAGAAATAGTTAAGCCAGTTTGGTGTAGTGGTTAAGTGTGCGGACTCTAATCTGGGAGAACCGGGTTTGATTCCCCACTCCTCCACTTGCACCTGGCTGGATGACCTTGGGCAAGCCGTAGTTCTGATAAGAGCTGTTCTTGAAAAAGAGCAGTTTCTGTCAAGAGCTCTCTCAGCCCCACCAACCTCACAGGGTGTCTGTTGTGGGGAAGGGAAGGGAAAGGAGTTTGTAAGCCGCTCTGAGACACCTTTGGGTAGTGAAGGGCGGGATATAAATCCAAACTCTTCTTCTTCTTCTTCTTCTTCTTCTTGATTTGTTTAGCATTTTGAATTCAACTGTCCTCCCCTTTTCCTTCATTTTCTTTCTCCAGAGTGCTGGATTTTGTCTGCATGCCACTCTGGCAATCACAACATGGAGGAAATCAAACAAGGATTACAGAATTTGTTCTGCTGGGGTTTGGGAATGCCTGGGAGGCCCAGATTCCACTCCTGTTGCTGCTTTTTGTGATTTACATTGTGACCATCAGTGGGAACCTCCTAATCATTGTGCTTGTTGTATCAGATGAGCATCTTCACACCCCGATGTACTACTTCTTGGCCAACCTGTCTTTCTTGGAGACCTTCTACAGCTCAGCCATCCTTCCCAGGGTGCTGTATAGTCTCTGCACAGGGGACAGGTCTATTTCTTTCATAGGTTGTGTTACCCAGTTCTATTTCTTTGGCATCCTTGTCACAACAGAGTGTTTTCTGCTCGCTGCCATGTCCGTCGATCGCTATTTAGCCATATGCAAGCCACTGCATTATGTTGCTGTCATGAATGACAAACTATGTGCTCAGCTAGCTGTCGGTTCCTGGATGAGTGGCTGGCTAGCTATCACCATCACTACCACTTTCATGTCCCAGCTAGTGTTTTGTGGTCCCAACGAGATGGACCACTTCTTTTGTGATTTTGCCCCAATGGTCAGTATGTCCTGTAGCAACACCAGAACAATAGAGGTCTTAAGTTTCATATTGTCATCTGTGTGTGCTTTTCCACCTTTCTTGTTAACTTTGGCAACCTACATTTGCATCATCACCTCTATCCTGGGAATCCCATCTACCGCAGGGAGGCAGAAGGCTTTCTCTACCTGCTCCTCTCACCTCCTAGTGGTGACCATTTTTTACGGGACTCTTATCATTGTCTATGTCTTGCCAAACTCTAGCACCCTGAGAGACCTGAACAAAGTGTTTTCTCTCCTGTATACCATATTGACTCCTCTTGCTAACCCCCTTATATACAGCCTAAGAAACAAAGAAGTTAAGGAAGCATTGAAGAAAGGTGCCATAAAACTTTACAAGAACGCAAGAATATAAGATGAGCCCTACTGAATACTACAGGGGTCCACCATGTCCAGCTTCCCGTTTCCTATATTGACCACATAGATCCTTCAGAAGGCTCACAAGCAAGGGAACAGAAACTAGAATTTCCTCCCCTTATTGCTCCATAAGCAAACCTGTATTTATACTGCCTCTGAACATGGAGGCTCTGTTTAGCACTATAGGGAATTAGAATATGGGATTGTTACTCAGACAATAATGTAATAGCTTAGAGATGAAGTTATATATTTAGTGGAACTCAGCTAATTAATAAACATTTCCCTTTTCATGAAACAAATCCATACCTATCATGTTATGATGTTTATTGTTTATTTGAAGATCAACGAACGCAGTTAATAATACTCCTCAGGAACAAATATGGCTGAAGGGTAGAGACAAAGAGACTTCTGGCTACCAGTTCACACTTTTTTTTTTCAATTTCTGGTTCTTCCATTTATAGAAAGGTGGGGGCAACTTCTCCATGCTCATGCATGCATGCATCCATCCATCCATGAATCCACCCATCCTTCTTCCATCTATTTCAATTCTTTAATATTTTGTTTTGGTCGTGCATGTTTTCAGCATTTGTTTGCGCTGAGTCTGACCGGACTGCCTACAGCCCCAAGCATGTGCATATTTGAAATGGTCCCAGTGCTGGTGGAGAGTCACCAGAATTGTGGAAAGGATTCTTGCCCAGTTGAAGACGGCTTTGCATTTGTTCCATACCCCACCTTGGCCACTGCACCATCGTGGGGAATGGTAGGTGCAATCATGTAAAAAATGAGAATGGCCTGCGGCTGGAAAGAGAGGAGACCAGAGCTGTGCTGACTGGCTGGCTGAGGCTGGGAGAGCAAGAAAAAAGGAATGGCATCAGGATCCTGGGTGAGCTGGCAGAGCATGATGGTGGTAGAAAGTGCTGTCACGTCACAGACGACATGGCAGGCAATCCTGTGGGGGTTCTCAAGGGAAGAGATGTTCAGAGATAGTTCGCCATTGCCTGTCTCTGGATCATGACCATGGACTTCCTTGGTATTCTCCCATCCAAATGGTAACCAGGGCTGACCCTGCTTAGCTTCCAAGGTCTGACGAGATCAGGCTAGGCTGGACCATCCAGGTCACGGTGTGCACAGGCAATAGAATTCTGACTAAAGGGGCAATTCCCACTGATTCCCTGTTTTGACTACAACCTTCCCTCCTTGTGTCATGCCTTAGGGTTTTCTATCCCCCAGGAACAAAATTTTGTGGAGATCATAGGGCTGCACTGGGGGGGGGGGAGGCAGAAATGTCCCATTCCACTGATAGAAGATTTAGTCTGGATCCATCCCATTATTTTCATGGACAGTGAACTCATCTAAGGAAGAAATGGCACTGCTCCCCTACGGCTTCCCTACGTGCATTCAATGTAACTTCTAAGACATACAGACTCTTTGTAAGTAGACTCGTCACATGCAATCAATGGATTTCACACGATCTTGCTCAATTTCTCTCCTTGCTACAGGCATTATCCCACCTGGTTTTTTGTCCACAAGAGACTCAAAAACTCTGGCACAGCCTTTTGAGGTTATCAAAAGGGGACACCCTCCTCCCTGTTTCACCAGTGGAAAAGTTGGTTGGATCCAACCCTTTATCTCTCAATGTACCTGGCCTCCTTGGTACCTGCATTTTTCAGAGTTCACAGTCATGCACACCAAGCATATTTATGTATATTTATTTAGATATCCATACCCTGCTTTTCTCTCTAAGGGTGACCTAAAGCATCTATAAACATCATTCTTCCCTCCTCCATTTTATCCTCACAGCAACCCTATGAGGTAGGTCTGGTGGACATTGTGTGACAGGCCCAAGATCAACAAGAAACCATCAATGACAGTGTGGGGATTCAAACATGGGTCATCCAACACTCTAATCACTATGCCATACTCTCTTTATATGTGCGTAAGGCTATGTGTGTAGACCATGGGTGAAGAAAGAAGGAAAGAATCATTGTCTAACTGTGGACAGTATTTTTTTCTTTAGTTAACTATATGGTAAAATGTACATTCTGCATAGAATTGTGTACATAAGAGAAGCCAATGATGGATCAGGCCAATGGCCCATCTAGTTCAACACTCTGTCACACAGTGGCCAAAAATACCAGGTGCCATCAGAAGGTCCACCAGTGGGGCCAGGACACTAGAAGCCCTCCCACTGTTGCCCCCCCAGCACCAAGAATACAGAGCATCACTTGCCTCAGCCTGAGAGTTCCTATCTATACCTTGTGGCTAATAGCCACTGATGGATCTCTGATCCATATGAGTACATTTCTACTCATAATCATTGGCTTATCCTTACACCATTAAAATTTTGTAATACTTATGGACAGTTAAGACACCACACACATTCTTCCCCCTGACCCAACTGCATATTTTCTTTGAGTATGCACCCATCTACAGCCACTTGGACATGATTTCTGGGAGTATAGTGGAAGAAGAACCCATAGTGCAGAAGTCATTAGGATGGAAATGGATACATTCTATGCATTAATACAGTCTCAAGAACTGATATGGTACATTGCCCAAAGAACACTTGGAATGTTTCATCCGGCTAACAGAAGCACTAAACCTTGGACAATACAAGTATGTTATGGAACAGAAGTAAGCTAGGTGACTTCCACATTGTACACTGGTTTTAGCTCCCAGCCACAGTGCCAGAATCCTGGTTAAATCAGTTCTCCACACCAGTCACTTCTCAGAAAGTTAACTTTATTGATACATTGATAGATACCATACTGGACATGAGCTATTGTTAGGACTGAAGTTGAACGCGCAAAGGTTGCAGATATAGTGTGTTCAAGTAAAGGCACTAAAGAGCAGGACCCAATCACCCCTCGGTATTTGCCCGCCAGAATTAACAGTTATCTACCGACACACACAGGCATGTAGCCTCTCCATAGCAAAGAAAACAGAATAACAGACATTTGAGAAGCCAGGACATTTGGCCCCACTAAGGTGATAAACCACTGGCACATCAAAAAGAGAGGAACCTCCTCTCTCAATGGCAGCTGTAAAATGCATAGGGAGACTGACACACAGTGGACTATTTCCAGGCTTCCACACAACTTGGTTATCCACCTGTTATCTTTCTATGGCTTTCCCATGGTTTCTCAAACTACCCTTGATCAAATTTACATTCACAATTACACCCTGTCACATTTGCCTGTTCTTTTCTTTAATCAGCAATAGGTAGCTAACTCCTTATAGCATTATAACATTGTCGCAATCTACTTATTAGTTCCTTTGAATTCCCAACTTTTTATTAGTTAGAAAGTAAGTCTCTAGCTTTTTTTCTTCCTTCCTGAGAGATGTTTCATTTCATTTACAATTAAAGGAGCTTGAATTTTACTTTTTCTTTTCAAAGGAAAGCTGGGAATGAAGAAGATCTAGTAGATATATCGGTATAATGTTATAACAATCTAGCAATTATCAAATTTTTTTTGGGGGGGTGTTGACCTCCACTGGTATGGGGAGAGGGAAATGGCAGCACTGGGGGAATGAAGGAGTGGAAATGTAGTGGGGGAACCTGCCATCTGGAAGCCCCATTGCCCCTGTGCTGAATAGGCAGCTATAGGGGATCACTGCTGTGAAGACGCCCAGGGATCTCCTCTAGATCATATCATTACTGTTGTGTGTTTTTTTTAAGAAAGCCAGAAAATCAGCAGCAATTCTACAGGCTGACTTCCTTGAAGTCTTTATGAAAAGTTGTTTCTGGACATGGATCCCTCACCTGAGAGAGTCTCAGCTTGCCCAGACCCCAGTATTTTAGCAGTGGTTTAGAGAAAGATTGATATAACTCTGGAACATCTAACCATGCATTTCTGCAAGCAAGTATTACAGTTTCAAAATACTTTTTTAAAAAAATATATATTTTTATTAGTTTTATTTTTTTAATCCCTCCTCCATTTTATCCTCACAGCAACCCTATGAGGTAGGTCTGGTGGACATTGTGTGACAGGCCCAAGATCAGCAAGAAACCATCAATGACAGTGTGGGGATTCAGACATGGGTCGTCCAACACTCTAATCACTATACCATACTCTCTTTATTTGTGTATAAGGCTGTGTGTGTAGACCACTTCCAGCATATATATATCCCATGTTTTGTCGAACCATTGTTGTACTGTTGGTGGTGTTTGTTGTTTCCATTGTTGAGCTATTACTAATTTAGCTGTCGTAATGAGAATGTTAATCAATTTTATTCTAATTGCAGGTGGGGAGTCCTTTGGCCAGCGATGCAGCAGTATTACTTCAGGATTTAACAGTAAATTATAGGACGTCAAGGTTTCAATTTGCTGAGCGATTTGTTTCCAGAATTCCTGGATTACTTTGCATTCCCACCAATTGTGAAAGTAGGAAGCTTTCTCACCACAGTTCTTCCAGCAATATGGAGAGATGGTAGGATTCATATGCGTTAGTCTCGGGGGTGTAAGATACCATCTGGTGGTTATTTTGAGATTGATTCCTTGTATCCGTTGCAAGTTTAGAGATTTTTGCTTGATTTCGCCAGATTTCCATCCAATCCTCCTCGTTGAGTTGTACATTTAGGTCATTGTTCCAAGCTTTCTGATAGTTCATCGTTTTTGGATTGGAAGTGTTGATAAGAATCCGATAAATTTTGGATATAAGCCCCTTCTTCTTATCGTTTTTAAGGAATAGTTGTTCCAGTTCCAGAAGCGGCAAGCCACAGGAGTCTTTGAAGTTCGTTGAGGTGATCAGATGTTGGATCTGTAAGTATTCATACCATTTCAATGATGTCTTATATTTTTTTTCTAAGTCTGATTTGGTTAAGATCTTGTGTTTATGGAGAACATCAATTATCCTGGTGACTTTCGCATTTTTCCAACTTGTAAATCAAAATACTTCAAACTCCTTTTGAATAAAATGGTCTATACATATGTCTACTATATTGGTCCACTGACTTACACAAACACTTTTTTTTTGAACCACAGAATGTACAGGATCC